ATTGCACTGTGGTCAGATAATATGCATGGGATAATTTCAGTTCTTTTGCATTTAGATAGGTATGCTCTATGGCCTAGAATGTGGTCCATTTTAAAGAAAGTCCCATGTGCAGCTGTATTCTGATGTTGTGGGGTAGAACACTCTGTATACATCTACTGAGTCCATTTGTTCACAGATTTGGTTCAGATCTGGTATTTCTTTGCTGATTTTTTTTTCCAGTTGACCTATCTCTTTGTGTCAAAGGGGTGTTGAGGTCGCCTATTGCAATAGTGTTATTAATTATTTGGGTTTTCATGTTTGTTTAGGTTTGTCTTTATAGTTTGGTGCTCCAATATTTGGTGCCTACATGTTTATGATTGTTATGTCATCCTCTTGTAGTTTTCCCCTAACAGGTAGGTGGTGATCTTCTTCATCTCTTTTGATTGTTCTCAGTTTGAAGTTTACATTGGCTGCAAACATAATAGCTACACCTGCTTTTTTCTGGGTTCCTATTGCATGGAGGATTGTTTTCCAACCTTTGACTTTCACTCTATGGATTTCCTTTTGAGTAAAATGTGTTTCTTGTATATAGCATATCATTGGATTTTGTTTCTTAATCCACTCTGCCAGTCTGGTTTTTTTTTGTTTTTTGTTTTTTTTTTTGGTTTTTCTCTGGTACCAGGAACCGAACTCACGACCTTGTGCTTGCCAGGCAGGTGCTTTGCCACTGAGCTAAATCCCCAGCCCAGTCTGTTTCTTTTGACTGGTGAATTGAGGCCATTTACATTTATGGTTATAACCAATATGTGTTGACTTATCATTGTCATGTTATTTACTTGCTGTTGGTTTCCTACTTTTTCTACCTGTTTAATTTCCTACCATGCTTGAGGATTCTTTTCTATTGTTGTTGTTGAAATTTCTTTCTCTGCCTAGAATATCTTTTAGTACTCTTTGCAATGATGGTTTGGCACTCATGAAGTTCTTCAGTTGTTCTTTGCTGTGGAAATATTTTATTTCTCCATGGAATCTAAAGAAGAGTTTGGCAGGGTACATCAGTCTTGGTTAGAATCTGTTTTGTCTCAGGACCTGTAATACATCGCTCCAAGCTCTTCTTGATTGGATGGTTTGTGTTGAGAAGTCTACCGTGATTCTGATAGGCTTTCCTTTATAGGTAATCTGTTTCTTTTCTCTAGCAGCTTTTAATATTCTGCTCTTTTGCTGGAGATCTGGGAACTTGACTATTTTATGTGTGGGTGTAGTTTTATTTTGGTTGTGGTTGTTTGGAGTTCTAAATGCCTCATTTACTGCATATCAGGTTCTGTTTCCATGCTTGGGAAATTTTCTGCTATTATTTCTGCAAATATACTTTTTATGTCATTTGTGTTGCCTCCTGCTGTTTCATTGACTCCTATTAATTGTATATTATTTCTCTTTGCCTCACCTTGCAGCTGCTGAATGGATTTTTCATGGTTCCTTTTTCATTTTAAGAGATCCTTCCTTTCACAATCGCTAGATGCCATGCTGTCTTCAAAATCTGAAATTCTATCTTCTGCTTCATTCAAGCGGTTTTGGAGCTTTCAATGGAAGCTTTGATTTCTGGATGTCTTTTTCAACCTGGTTCATGAGTTCTAATTCATTCCTATATTTTTCATTTAAAATTTCCATCAGTTGCCTATGTTCATCTATTTTTTATATATTTCTTCTTTAGATGGGCTGAGCAATTCTTTCATTATTATTGTCATTTCATTTTTTGCCTGAGAGACTATTTTTGATCTGATCTCTTTGATAGCCTAATGGAGTTCTTTCTTTACTTCCATTGCAATCATTTTAGCAATTTCAGGTGTGTGTTTTACCAAGTTCTCCTATGTCAATGTCTCCTGGACTTGTTCTGAGTAGGGTGGAGCTCTGAGATTGTGTTTTAGTCTTTCATCTTGTCATGTTTGATACTGGATGTAGAAAGCTCAGTTTCTCTCTTCCCTGGCAGCTCAGCAAAAGTCACTAGTGTCCCTAGTTTTCCTGGTGGTCAGGCTTGCCCCTTAGTGTCCACTGAGATGCCCTGCTTAGTCTGGGGTTTTCCGGCAGATGGTGAAGTGTATCTAGTTCTCCCAGGTCTCAGATGCGAACCATGATGTCAGCTGATGGCAGACCATCTGATCCAGTGTCCCTTCGCAGCTCAGGGTACATGCATGCTCCAGAATCGGGTTCCACTGGTGGCACAATCCTAGACCAGTGGTCCTGTGTCCCCAGGCAGTTCAGAGTACAGGCAAAACCCAGACACGAACTGCAGGGTCAATAGTTTGTGGACCACCTGATTCTGTGTCCCCAGGCAGCTCAGGATGCACACAGGAGGTAGACGCAGGCTGCACTGGCGGTGATCATGGGCCACCTGTGTCTGTGAGCTACAGGAGGTCAGGGTGCAAGTAAAGCCCAAACCCGAACCGCGGTGCCAGCAGCTCATGGAGCACCTGCTATAGTACCTTACTTGGCGCAGGGCATGCACAGGGCATGCACAGGGAGGGCCCACATGCGAACCCCGGTGAGAGCAGTTCATAGACCTTCTGAGTGAGGATGTCCTGTCTGCACCTGGCACACAGAGAGTGGACTAGTATAGCATCTAAATCCACCTTTACTATTATAGTCCATGACCTTCTCCTTACTTTGGGATTGATGCCCACCTGACCAGATATTAACACTACTTTCTGGAAGGTTTAATGCTATCCTTCCTTGTTAGGTAATAAGCATAATGTACAGTTTCTAGTTATGTCACAACAACCATACTTTGAAATGATAATTCCAGGGTACTGTTAAATTTTTTATTTTCCATTTCTTTGCAGGCATCAATGGTTATGTTTTTGATAGCTTGCAGTTGTCCATTTGTTTGCATGAGGTGGCATACTGGTACATTCTAAGTGTTGGAGCCCAGACTGACTTCTTATCTGTCTTCTTCTCTGGATATACCTTCAAACACAAAATGGTCTACGAAGACACACTTACCTTATTCCCATTCTCAGGGGAAACTGTCTTCATGTCGATGGAAAACCCAGGTTAGTTATTTATATGAACTTTTCACTAACAGCTGTGCTTGCCTCACTAGTCATTCATATGCTCACATTTAGTTAGACGCTAAATAATTCAAATGGTTTTGATATGTGATTTTGATCATTGCAAGCCATTTTAATGATGGCACCAACTCAAATATTTAACTTAAAAATCTTTGCTCTAAAAAGGTGTCTTTTTTTGCTACCGGCCAAATTTTTAAAGTGTGTTTGCTCAACCACACTAATAAACATATATTTATACATGTAGTGAACATTAGGGAGCCAAATATATTCCTGTGTGCCTTGTGAACCATTTGTGTTGCAAGATAAATACCATCTAGAAGCTTTTGGAAAGTGCACAGTAATCTTCCTTTGCACACAAATCCTGAAACCACTCAAGGCCTTCAGAACAAATGTGATGCTCAGCTCCTCATCCTCCTTCCCCAGTAACCACTGCAAGGCTTTTTGAGACCACTATGCTTAGGTCTGACACAGACTGTGCCATAATCATACTGCATAGGAATAAATACTAGACTATTCTATGCTTCCTCGTCCCTCCCACTACCTTCATCTGGAGAATGAGGCACATAAAACCACCTGTAGATCATGGTTATTGTCCTTTTCTGAAGATAAGTCCTCATGGGAAATTTCTGGGAAATAAAAACTGATTTCATCATACTTAAGCACATGCTTACTTTCATATCAAAAAAATTATCTCACTTCAAATGATGTGTTTTTGTGGGATGTGAGTGAAGAAGAACCTGGCCGAACACTAATAACACCTTTGAAAGTATCTTGCTCATTCATGTTTGTGTTTATACATGTATTACCTGTCCCAACTAAGTTGTAAGCTCTCTGAGGGAAGAGATCTTGTCTATTTTGTTCAGCATTATGCCCCAATGTCTACAGTACTTGGTATATAGTAGATGTTTAGTAAATATCTTGAATGAATGAGATATGTGCAAAATGATTATGCATAAAGATTAAGTGGCAGCATTATTTAGAAAAGTACTAGTAAACACTTGGCAGAAAAAATAAATGTCCATCAGCAGGGGATTTAGTTAAGTGTGACTCATCTATATTATGGGTTGCTGTTCAGCCATTGAAAATAATGGAGTGGAAGAATAGCTAATGACATTGGAAATATTTACAATTGGGTATAATATAACATAACAATATAGTTGTAACTATTTAAACCAAGGAAAGAGCATGTCTATGTGTATGTGTGTATGTGTAAGCAGAGAAAAATATTAAAGCTATAAATGTTTTGAGAAACTTTAAAGATCTATAAATTCTAAAAACAAATTAAAATTCTGTTTTACATGCCTTAAGTGAAACCTTTTAATATAGCATCATTAATTACAAACCTCAAAGAAAGATCCTAGAGAACAATTCATGTGTTCATTATAGTAAATATGGTCATTTTTATGTATTTCATTGAAGTAAAATTCACATAATAGAAAGCTAGCTGTTCTTTTTTTTTATTTTAAACAGAACAAAAAAATTAAAAATGATACAGAATTTCAAAACAGATGATAGGAAATCCATAATGGTTGTTATATTGCATATAGTTATCTTCAAAATAGTTGTTCAGATTATCAGCTATTGGCATGCAAAACTGATAAAAATATTAAGTGTTAACTGTTCCTTTCACTACACCAATAAAAATTAGTAGAACAATTATCTTAGCTCTCTTGTGTGTATATATATATTTTTCCCCTTCCTTTTTTCTTTTTTTTCTCCCTTCTCTTATCCCAGTTCTTTCCTTTTGAGCAGTTTCTTTCCCTTTCACAATATCTATTGTACCTTTCAGATGTTATTTACTCTTTCAGTTTCTTACACTAGGGAGACAAGATGATGTTTACACATACGAGTCTGATTTATTTCACTTATGAGTACGGTCTCTAGTTGCATCCATTTACCTATAAAAGCCTTGAATTTATCTTTCTTTATAGCAGAGTAACAGTCCATTCTATAAAAATACCACATCTTATTTATTGGTTCCTTCTTATTTTTAAGAGTTCTTTCCTTTAATGATCACTAGCTACAATCCTGTCTTCAAGGTCTGAAAGTCTATCTTCAGTTTTGTTCAAGTGCTTTTGCTAGCTTTCAATGGAATTTTTAATTACCTAGGTGTCTCTTTGAATCTGTTTTATGTATTGAAATGCTTTCCTATATTGTTCATTCAAGGTTTCCATCATTTTTCTATGCTCCTCTAATTTTTACCTATCTGCTTTAGATACGGTGAGCAATTCTTTCATTATGGTTGCCAATTCTTTTTTTACCTGAGAGATTATTCCTGATCTGATTTTTTCTGTAGTCTGATGGAGTTGTTTCTTTATTTCAGTTGCTATCGTTTCAGAAATTTCAGGTGTGTTACTTCCAATTTCTTCTATGTTGATGTCTCCTGGACTTGTTCTGGGTGGGGTGGAGGTCTAAGATTGCATTTTGCTCCTTCGTTTTGAAATTTTCTATTTCAAAAATATTTTATTTTGTTTTTTGGGATGATCCTTGTGAGTTTTGGTAATAGGTAGCTATATCACTAATATCAAGGCATATTCAGCAATAGTCTGTACTTCAGGGATATCTTCTGTGTGTAGGAGATTCTTGGTTTGTGTCTGTCCCACGATCCTACCTTCCCAATTAATTGAGAGTGGGATGTTGGTTTCTGTTTGGCTCAGTCCCCAGTCTTTTGGTGTAGGGCTGTGGTGAGGTTATTACCCCAGAGCTTCCCAATATTGTTACACAAGGGAGAACAACTGATTACAACACCTATGACATCCTAGCTACAGTAGTACAAATAGTAATAAGCACAATTTAGAAACCATCCAACTATAGTAACTATTGATTTTGTATGTTAGACCATAGGAGCAAAGTCTACAGTTGTATAACAGAACCAATCATAAATTAGGAGTCTGTGTGCAAAGTATTTCCCCTTGTTAGAACAGATTTACCCTGGGTTCCTCTAGACAAGACAGTTGCTGTATCTTGAGCACTTTCTACACTGGCTGCCCAAACTGCCATGTAAGAGTATGGGCCAGACACGAGGGTTCCTACAGTCTGAGGCTCCCTGGATAGCAGAGGGGCGGTGGGTGCATTTTCTCTCCTCTCACATGGCTCGCCAAGGTTCCCAAGGCTCACTATCGCTCCCGCAATGATGGGAGTTGGGGCGTGGCATCTCTCATCTCCTGAGCAGCTCACTGATGCTGCCAAGGCTCACAATTGCTCCCATGATAGTGTGTGGGGGGGGTGAAGTTTCTCCCCTTCCAAACAGCTCACTGAAGCTCCCACGCTGCCAAGGCTCACAGTTGCTCCTGTGATGGTGGGGCAGCAAGGGACCGAATTTCCAGAAAACTAATTGTTGTTATCATGTAAAAGTGCACAATTAAGTAACTTCCTGGTCATTCATCATATTATATAACTATCACTAGTATTAAACCACAGAATGTTGCATCACTCACAAAAGAAACCCCATGTCCTGAAGAAATCACTTCCCACTCTCTCTTCTCCTGGCCCCTGGCAACCATTGATCTAATTTCTGTCTCTACAAATTTGTAAATTCTAGATATTTTAAATGGAGTCATACAGTATTAGTTCTTTTGTGTCTGGCTTATCACATGTAGCATAATATTTTGAAATCTTATTCATGGTGTATAATGTATCAGTACATCATCCTGGATATTTTTAAGCTTTTCTCATTATTTTGGTTTTCAGCAGTTTTAATATGATATGTCTAAGCTACAGTACTGTGTGCATGCATATTTACTTTGGTATTCTCTCCTTGTCTTCAATATGATTTGGTGTCTCATTAATTTGGGGAACTATTTATCATCTGCCTCTTCAGCTATTTTCTCTGATTCTTGTTCTCTCTTTTCCTTCTGGATTACAAGTGCACCTAGTATAAGCTGTTTGATATTGCCACACAGTGCTTGGGTATGCTGTTCTGATTGGTTTGGAAATCTGTCTTTCTCACTGTCTTTCCTCATATTGTTCAGTTTGGTTAACTTCTATTGATGTATTTTCATTTCAATAGTTCTTTCTTGGGCTGTGTTTAAACAACCCATGAACTCATAGATCAAGTACAGTTCATATGTGGATTACTTGTGCTTTTTTGTGGTACTAGAGATGGAATCCAGGGCCTTGCAATGCTAGACAGTGCTCTACCATTAAGCTACAATCCCAGGCCTCTTTATTTTGAGACGGAGTCTTGTTAAGTTGCCCAAACTGGCCTCAAATTTGTGATCCTCCTGCCTCAGCCTCTAGAGCAGCTAGAATTACAGGCATGTGCCATTATACCTAGCTTTAGTTGTACTTTTGAGGTAATGTAAGGTCACAAATGTTTACTTCTGTATTTTTCCAAGAGTTTCATAGTCTTAGCTATTACATTTATGTCTATGATCCAGTACAAGTTAATTTTTGTGTATGATGTGAAGAAAGAGTCTAATTTTCTTCTGGCCTTTCTTTGCATGTAGGTATCCAATTGTCCTAGCACCATTTCTTAAAAAGATGATTCTTTCCCTGAAATTGTGATACCCTAATTGAAAATCAATTATCCCTAAATTTCAACATTTACTTCTGGACTCTTGATTCTGTTCCATTGATCTACATATTCTCTAAATTCTTATAATTCTATTACATTCTTGTTTCTTTAAGATATGCTCATTTCATTAATTTGATTAAAATTATGGAGATGCATTTGGTTACAAGCTTCATCTGCTCCCTGGCAACATTTTATTCTAATTGGTGTTTTTCTTTCTGTTTTTGTTGTTCCATTCTCTTTGCTGAGGTGAATTCCTTCTAAATAAGCTTTTTGCAGAATGTTTATATGCACATGGCAGTGAGGCATCAGGAGTGAATTTCAGGCTAGCAGGAATTCTCTTTATTACAGAAGATTGATTCTATATGTGAATTTTTGGGATAACTTCTGTCCAGTACATTGAGATCAAGATTGTAGGATTATTTTCTTTTCTTTTAAAGAGAAAAAAATAACAATAAAACAGTTTCAAAACAGGCTAGTAGGAGAGCAGCAATAATTCATACATCGCATATTATTATATTCATAATAGTTGCTAAGAGAACAAGATATAGGCCTGAAATACTGTCCAAATAATTTTAGCACAGACCTTTCTTTTCAGTTAATACAGGGCTATTTCCATTTCAGGAAATCTTTCCCCCATCCTCTGTTTACAAAGCAAGCTTGTACTGCAAAAGTGTCCCATGTTTCCCACCTTTTGAGACTTGTGTTGAAAGAAGTCCAACAAATCCACTGATGCCAGCCTGTATTAAGTAACCCTATTGCTGATGTGAATGGCTGGTGCTTAATATCAAAGTGTGATCCTTATTCTGGAAAAGTAGTTTTCCTGGGCTTTTCTGAAACCCAAAGGTAGCCAGTCTTTATGTCTTTGGATGCCTCCTTGACATTAATTGCCCTTATTCTTTGTGTTTTCATAGCTTCAGATATTTATTGGATTAACTAGAGTTTCTGTTCTGTCTTTGATACACTGGAGTGATTTCTGAAAGAAGTAGACATAAATGCCAGGCTTTTCTATACTATGTTAAAAGCTTTAACATGTTTATCATGTTTAAGATGTCATGTTTTGAAGCTTTGTGAAAGGCACAGTGAGTAATCATGTACCTCAGGAATAGCAAACTATGGCCTATGGATAGTCTGGCCTACTACCTGTTTTTGCAAATAAAGTTTTATTGAAACATGCCTATTAAAAACTGGTCACCTTCTATTATGTATCATTTCCTTATAATTCTTTCCTTTCATTTCTTCCAGTCGAATTACCATTTAACTTTGTGTACATCCTTTGTTGCCTTAAATTATGGAAGCTGCATCTTCTTGTGTTTGTTTTAGTATGCCAAGCTTTTTGTTCCCACTTTTCTCTGGAATCTAGAGTTGATTACTTTCCTTTGAGTTTTGTGACTTTTGTTTCCTTCTTGTTCTGCAATAGTTTTATAGATTGTATTCTTGTTTATTTCTTTTATCTTCAAAAAGTACAAATACGTCCTAAAAACTGTTAACAGAGAAGATGCTTAACTTGCTCTTAGCCTTTCATTGCACTTGGTGGGTGCTGAATTCTCTTCTCAACTTAACAACTAGAATAAAGTTTAAGGTAAACTAATCCCAGACCAATTTCTAGTTTCTACAGATATTTTATCTCTCTTCTACTATGATGCAAAACTATGTTGGGGCAGAGTTGACTAGAATTGGAACCCATGTTAATTTAATTAAGGTTTTTGACCCTTGAAGTTCCACTGCTGTAACTGAGATCATACTAATTCCTTTTATTTCCTGAGGAAAGTAGTAATTAGGTGAGAAAACAGGAAATGGACCCCAATAAATAGGTATGGAATGACATAAACCAAACTGATAACACACCTTCACTCTGATAGGCCCCTAGAGTTTGGAATGGTAATCAGGAGCGACTTTAGTTATAGCCACATTAGTTGAGCCAGATGTGATTGTGTGCTCCTGTAATCACAGCACTCAGGAGGCTGAGGCAGGAGGATCACTGCATGTTTAAGGTCAGTTTGGCTATATAGTGAGTTCAAGGACAGTCTGAACTGCATAGTGAGACCTTGTCTCAAAAAAAAGTTGGCTGAATTTTTGTGACAATATCATCTGCTTGTATCACTTGTGTGACTACAAATAAATTTAAGACATTATAGTTCATTCATAAATTTCAACCCAAGAGATTACAGAATAGATTCTTTCATTAAAAAATTAATAAAATTAGATAACCAAATAAAATGTAAGAAATTTTTATATCCAAAATGTGAAATAAGAAAGGCGATATAATCACAGGTACAAAGAAAATTAAAAGAATTATAATTTCCACTGGGCATGGTGGCACATGCCTGTAATCCCAGCACTCGGGAGGCTGAGGCAGGAGGATTGTGAGTTTCAGACTAGCCTGGGCTATAACGTGAGCTCAAGGCTAGCCTGAACTGCATCGTGAGACCCTGTCTCAAAAAGACCAAAAATAATTATAATTTTCTCAGTGACACTTCAGCTACTGATCTCCTCAAATTCTTCACATTGGCCAAGATTAGGACTCTGTCAGCACTACAAATGGACTAGTCTCCCTGCCTCTGAGATCTAATGTGAATTTGAGGGTGGGGCAGGGTACAATGCTATTGTCTGACTATGCTACAGTGTGGACTGATTCTGTCTAAACCTGTGGTTTAGTTATTGGGTGGGGACTTTCCTTCACAGTATCTGAGGATAAGTACCTGGTTTCTGATTTCTGTGTCTTACTGATACTCCTTTGTGATGGTAGTGAACATTCTGCAATCACTTTCTGAGAATCCCTGCATTAGAGAGAGATTTTCTGTATCCTTGAACATTAGAAAATATTTTTATTCTCCTTTTACTTTTTATTGAAAATTTGACTGCACACAGAACAATTCAATGTGCAATTATTCCAAAATGTGTTTGATAATAGAAACTTTTTTATGAGCACCCCATTATCTCCCATGGCTCTGTGGAATATGCTTTTCATAAACACTTCCCTTCGAGTTAAAGCCAGATGGAATTAATGTCTTACCTACAAATGTTGTGTGAGATGAATAAGGTGCATGATGGGTAGCTTAGTAAATGTATGTTTTGTCCTTTATAAAAAGCACCTACTTTACTATCATCTAAGTGCTTATTATTAACTCATTGAATTCCTTCATTCAGCCAGTCTTGCCCATGATAGACATTAAATATAGCTAGCACCATGGTCAGATAAGTGTTGTTCCCTTGTGCTCACTTATCTTACTAAGTCATGACAATGTATTAGTCAGTTTTTCATCACTGTAACAAAATACACAAGTCAAGCTCTCCATGAAGAAAAAGTTTATTTAGTATCATGTTAATATTATCCCCTAGTTGTTGAGGACTGATCAGGTCTGCAATATCCCAAGTGAGTGGATGCCAAAGGCTTAAATAAATGAGACAAATGAAATGATTTCAGGGCTCCAGGAGGATCAAAAACCCTCTCATAGAATTCAAAATTCTCTGGGTTAAGACCAAGAACTTCTCTAGGCAGCCCATATTTATTGTGTTATCAAACAAAGGAGGGGAATGCTGAAGAAAATGTAGGAATCTTGGCAGGACTTGGGAATTCCTCTAAGGACTTCTCCAAGTAATACATTATATTAATTTAGGAGAACTCTGTTATCTCCAGGAAGGCCTTTACAGCAGGAGTGAGATGCCTGCAGCTAGTCTCCTTGTAGTTAATTGGTGTTGGAGCCAAACGTCCTCAGCTCTGGCCTTATCTTGTCCTTTGAGGTGTCCCAACTTCACAGGCCAATACAGGCCTCAAAGGGGACCAGTGACTCATAGAGGTTCACTTACTATGAGTCCACTGTCCATCTGCAGACAAGGGGGCTAGGCCTTGGACAGGCTCACAAGTAAACATGGAAAGCCAATTGATTAATTTAAATCCTGCTCAGAGCCACTTTGTAGTAATCTCCATCAATTTAGCTCACAAATTTGTATGCTAAAATCCAAGTAATGTCCGGCTAGGACTCCATGACAAATGGTGAATGGTAGAGCACATGCAGGGGAAGGATCACATCTCAAGCCAGAAAATAGAGAGCTGGGTGGGGCCAGACTCAGCCTTTCATTATAAGCCTATTTTGAGAACTACTAAGAGGTCACATGAGCACTGCCTTAGTCTTTTCTGAGGGTGTGCCCTTAATGACCTGAGGACCTCTTACTAAGTCTCACCACTTAAATTTTCCACCACTCCCAGTAGCAGCAATCTGGGGACCCTTAAAGTAACTCAAAGCCAGGCTTTAATATGTGGGCCTTTGGGAAACAAACAACATTCAAATCATAACACATTATGTTATGTGCCAGAGAGCTATACGACTTTTTCAAAGTCATACATCTGGTAAACGGTAGAGCTATGATTTGAACCCAGGCAATCTGAGTCTATAACCTGTTGTTATATAGCAATAAAACCTAGCCTGTATAAAAACTTTACTGAATTGAATAACCGTCATTATCATTCTCCATTTTGATTCCGATATTGTTTCACTTTTTACTCACAGCCCTTTCTTGTGATCACAAACAGGGATAACACAAGCGTAGCAATCCTAAAACTGCTTTTAGCACCACTGTTGGATTGTTACATATGTTGGGAATTTAACCCAGCGATCTGCATTACAATGATCTTGACTAGTATTTTCTCATTTATCTAGAATGGGAGATAACCTCTAACACAGAACTTCCTTAGAGCCTGGGTTATGAGTAACCAGAGTCTTATTCTTTCTCATTTCCAGGTCTGTGGGTTCTGGGGTGCCACCACTCAGACTTTCGGAACAGAGGCATGACAGCCTTACTGAAGGTTTCTAGCTGTGGCCGGAGCACTGGTGACGATTATGAGGACATATATGAAGATATTCCAACATACTTCCTGAGTGAAAACCATATCATTGAACCCAGAAGCTTCTCCCAAAATTCAAGGCACCCTAGCACCAGGCAAAAGCAATTCAAAGCTACCACAATTCCAGAAAATGACGTAAAGATGACTGATCCTCACTTTGGGGAGGGAACAGGGATCGATAAAGTACACAATGTCTTCTACACTGATTTGTCAATGCTCTTGGGACAGAGTCCAACTCCACATGGGCTACCCTTATCTGATCTCCCAAAAGCCACATATGAGGCTCTTCCTGGTGATCATTTACCTGGAGCAGTAAATAATAATGGAGGCCCATCTAACATGGTACAATTCATGCCAGAGGTCTATCAGAGTGGAGATACAGTATTTACTCCTGAACCAAGCCTTCAATTAAGATTGAATGAGAATTGGGGGACAACTGTGCCGGTAGAGTTGAAGAAACTTGATTTAAAAGTTTCTAGCTCACCAAATAATTTAATGGTTTCACCAACAATTCTATCAGACAACTTGGCAGCAGGTTCTGAAGAGACAAGTTCCTTAGGATCCCCAAATATGCCAGTTAGTCATCAATTGAGCACCAGTGTATTTGGCAAAAAGTCACTTCCACTTATAGGGTCTGGTAGTGAAAGAAATAATGAATCCAACTTGTTAGAAGGAACATTAGTGAATACTCAAGAGAATTCACTGGGAAAAAATATATTATCAATGGAGAGTGATATATCACTGGAAGAGAAAATAGCTCATGGACCTGCTTTGTTGACCAAAGCTAATATTTTATTCAAAGTTAACCTCTCTTTGATAAAGACAAGCAAGACATCTAATTATTCAATAACTAACAGAAAAACTCACGTTGATAGACCAACATTACTAATGGAGAATAGTACATCGGTCTGGCAAGATACTATATTAGATAGAGATACTGAGTTTCAAAAAATGATATTGTCAGTGAACAATGAAGTGCTTATGGACAAAAATACTACAGCTCTGGGGCTAAATAAAACTACTTCATCAAAAAATGTGGAAATAGTTGCTCCAAAACAAGCAGGTCTTGTGCCATCAGATAAAGAAAACCCAGCTATGTCATTTTTCAAGATGTTATTCTTGCCAGAGTCAACAAATTGGAAAAAAGAGACCAATGGAAAGAATTCCCTAAACTCTGGGCAAGGGCCTAGTCCGAAGCAATTAATATCCTTAGGGTCAGAAAAGCCTCGAGAAGATCAGAATTTCTTGTCAGACAAGAATAAAGTGGTAGTAGAAGAGGATGCGTTTACAAAGGACACAGAATCTAAAGAGCTTATTCCAAACAATGGGAGCATATTTTTTACTAACAGGGCTACTGTAAAAGAAAATGATACACACAATCAAGAAAAACCAATTCAGGAAGAGATAAAAAGGAAGGAAGTATCAACCCAAGACAATGTAGCTTTGCCTCAGGTGTACACAGTGACTGACGTTAAGAATTTCCTGAAGAAACTTTTCTTACTGAACACTAGACAAAACATAAGTTTAGATGAGGGAACATATGCACCAACACTTCCAGACACCAAATTATTAAATGATTCAACAAATAGGGCAAAGATTCACGTGGCTCATCTCTCAAAAGCCAGGGGAGAAGAGGAAATACACCAAGAAAGCTTGGGAAATCAAGCCAAACAAATGGTTGACGAATATCTAAGTACCATAGAGGTGTTTCCTAATCCAAGCCAGAACATTACTGCCCAACGCGGTAAGCGTTCTTTGAAACAGTTGATATTGCCACCAGAAGAAACAGAGGTTGAAAGGGGGCTAATTGTGGATGATACCTCAACACAAGTGTCCAAAAACATGAACTATTTGACCCGGACAGATTACAAGGAGAAAGGAGGAAAGGCCCTTACTCGGTCTCCTTTCTCAAAGTCTCCTATGAGGAATCGTAGCATCCCTCAGATGAAGAGCTCTGCATCACCCACTGCAGAGATATCAGCATCTGCAGTCATTCGACCTACAGATCTGACACGGTTCTCATCTCAAAGCAGCTCTTCTCATTTTCTAGCATCAGCCTATAGTTACAGCTTTACGGCAAGAAGTCCAACAGCCCAAGAAGACAGTCACTTCTTACAAGCACCCAAAATAAATAACCTTTCTTTAGCCATCCTACCCTTGGAGGTAATTGGCAATCAAGAAAAGGTTGGCTTCCTGGGGACAAGTGCCACAAACTCAGTTGCATACAAGAAACTGGGCAACACTGTTCTCTTGAAACCAGTCTTGTCCAAAACATCTGGCAAAGTTGAATTTCTTTCTAAAGTTCCCATTCATCGGGAAGACCTTCTACTTACAGAAGCTATCCATGAGTCTCCTGTTTACCTGGATCACATGGAAGAGATTCTCCTTCAGAAAACAGCAGGAACTACACAATGGAATAAGACAGATGGACCTGGAAAAGTGCCCATTCTGAAAGGTGCAACAGAACCCTCTGAAAAGATGAACTCCAAGCTGCTGGGTCCTCTTGCTTTAGGGAATCAATATACTACTCAGATACCAAAAGATAAGTGGAGATCCCAAGAACAGTCACCAAAAAATACAGTTTTAAAGATGAAGGACACTGTTTTGTCTCTGAACCCTGATGAAAGCAATTGTACAACAGTAGCAATAAATGATGGGCAAAACAGGCTCCAAGGAGAAGCCACTTGGGCAAATCAAGGAGGGACTGGAAAATTGTGCTCTCCAAACCCACGTGTCTTGAAGCGTCATCTAAGGGAAATAACCCCTGCTACTCTTCACGCAGAACAAGAAGACATTTACTATGATGATGTCATCTCAAGTGAAAGCAAGAGAGAAGATTTTGAGATTTATGGTGAGGATGAAAACCAGGGTCTCCGCAGCTTTCAAAAGAGAACACGACACTATTTTATTGCAGCGGTGGAGCGGCTCTGGGACTATGGGATGAGTAGGGTTCCCAGTTTCCTAAGAAACAGGTATGACTCCACTGGTTATTCCTTTGTCTTGCTATTGTGACTTTGAACTTTACCAGGTGCTGAAATAGTAGGTTCTCGGACTTCCTTTCTTTTTTTTTTTTTTTTTGGTTTTTGTTTTTTCTCCGGTACCGGGAACCTAACTCAGGACCTTGCGCTTGCCAGGCAGGCGCTCTGCCACTGAGCTAAATCCCCAGCCCCGGACTTCCTTTCAAAAGCAATCTCTGGGGGGCTGGGGATTTAGCTCAGCGGCAAAGCGCCTGCCTGGCAAGCGCAAGGTCCTGAGTTCGGTTCCCGGTACCGGAGAAAAACAAACAAACAAACAAAAAAGCAATCTCTGGACTCTCACTTCAGCAGGTGGCAAAGTCTAGCTGAAGCTGAGGAGTAAGTGGGAGATTAGATGATAACGTCAACAGCAAGAGTGAGCAGATGGTAAAGCGAGACGTCAAGAAATTCTTACTCTGGTGGCAGGGAAAGGAGAGAGGTTTTGAAGAGGGTACAGGAGTCATGGTCAAGAAGCTGCAGTGGGGTAGAAAGTCAGCCTCATCTCTCCAACCTCTGAGCTGCAGGAGAAAGCAGATTCTTGTGGAAGAGCCCTGAGAGAGGTATGCGGAAGAAGTGTGTGGTGAAGAGGTTAAAGATGTGGGGAGAGTTTTTCCCAGAGTACGGGGGATTCTGCAGACAAGATGGGCTGCTTTGAGTTTTAGGGGATCAGAGGAGGTTGGACAGGAGAGAGAAAGCACAGTCACATTTGGAAGACAAACATAATCAGTCAGTGAACAAATATTTGTGGAACGTATTATGTACAATGGAAAGGGCTCTTGCCCTTCTCTAGGACCTGTCTTATCTGACTGTTGCCCAGGACTACCGCTTCACTTCTCTTCCATGCACTCTCACCCTGAATTCTTCACTGTACTCATCGTGCTTGCCCCTTTTGTTCTTCGAAGCTGCTGAGCTCATTCTGCTTTTGATGCCTTTGCATTGTTTCCTCTGTTGCGAAGCTTCATCAGTTGGCCCTTTATCACCATCATTCAGAGCTCGGCTCCTCACAGAGGATTTCTCCAGCCACCACAGCTAAAGTAACACCCTTAGTCACTACCACATTATTGTGTTTTATCTCCTGAAGAGCACCACTGAAATCCTCTGTTTCTACTGATTTGTTCTCTTTTGTGCTGCACTCCAGCGTCTACACTCTCACTCTTAGCTGATGCTGTGCAGTGAACAGGTTACCAACACATTTAGTGACCTCTGTACCCACACACTTGCCTAACACGCACAAAACCCAGGGCTCAATCCCCATCACAGCCAAGTGACCAGCACCATCACAAATAAATAAATAAGTAAATGTGGGCCTGTCAAAGAGGTTCACTGTGGCAACATGGTGGACAAGTTTGCTAGATAGAATACTAGAACTTGGCAGTTATTTTATTTCAGGGACTGAAATATATCATTCCATGTCCTCTAGATCTGTAAAGTTTCTTCTGATAAATATGAAGTTATAGATTTTAGATCTAAAATATCCCTGTTATAGTTTTCATCTAAAATTACACCCAAAGGTATAATATGTTCAAAGTCATGGGGGTGCTAAACTCATCAGTAGATTCGTCCATTGCTGAATTCCTAGCTGAGTGTGCTGTTCCAGAGGCGAGGCCTGGTTAGAAGGGGTTTGCCAATGGAGATGTGGCCCAGAAAGGGTATATTCTGGTCCCTGGCTCCTCTCTTCTCACTTTCCTTCTTGCCCGCCATGGTTTGTGCAATTTTCCCCTTGCAGGTCCTTTTGCCATACTGTTTCTGCCTGGGAGCCAGCCAAGCATGTGTAGACTGAACCTTGTTAAACGATGAGCTAAGATGAACCCCTCTTCTTTAAAGTTGATGGTGCTGAGTATTTTGTCTCAGTGACATGATAGTAACTAATACATTGCTTTAATGAGTGACTTGACATTTCTCTTTTTCAGCTTTCAATATTCTTTCCTTCTTCTGTTTTTTTTCTTGTTTTTTTTTGTTTTTTTTCTCCGGTACCGGGAACCGAACTCACGACCTTGCGCTTGCCAGGCAGGCGCTTTTGCCGCTGAGCTAAATCCCCAGCCCCTCTTTCCTTCTTCTGTATGTTTTGCATTTTAACTAACGTGACGTAGAAAGATTCTTTTGTGGTCATGCCTGTTTGGGGTTCTAAATGCCTCTGACACATGAGTGTTTACATCTTTCTCAAGATTTAGGCATTTTTATGCCATTATTTCCTTGAGTAGATTTTTCTATGCCTTTAGTCTGTACCCTAGCACCCTCTTCTACAACAAACAACATGTGAGTTTGGTCTTTTAATCATGTCACTGAGTTCTTGGATTTTTTATTCATAATTTCTTTTTCTTTATTATTGTCTGAGTGTGATAATTTATCAACCTTGTCTTCAGGCCCTGAAATTCTGTCTTCTGCTTGGTCTTGTCTATTGATGAGGCTTTCCACTGAGTTTTGATTTTATGTATTGAGCATTTCCAAACTTTCTGTTTAGCTCTTTTTAAGAATGTCTATGCCTTTGTTGAATTTCTCCTTCAGATCCTGCATGATCTTCCTTAACTGACTCAGCTGCTTATTTGTATTCTATTTGAAGTCATTGATCAATCTTTTGAATTATTTGTCCAGTATTTCATCCATTTCAGTATCTTTGCATTCAGTTATTATTATTTTTTTGGTACCTGGAATCTAACTCAGGACCTTGTGCTTGCCAGGCAGGCACTGTGCTGCTGAGCTATATCACTGGCTCTGCATTCAGTTATTGATGAGTTATAAACCCTTGGAGGAGTCCTGTTGCCTTGCTTTTTAATATCTTTGGGATTTTGTTGAGATTTGTGCATCTGTTGGGATGTATATCGCTTCCACTTTTATGTGAGGGTCTTCTTATTGACCATCCTTCTTCTGTGAATCACTCCCTAGAACCACTGAGAGAGCAGAAAATGTACCACATTAAAGACAACACAAAGACAAAACTTATATATTAAGATGTAGTAAAAATAAAATAGAAGGAACAACTGTAAATTACTAACAATAAAAAAGAAAGGAGCAATAATACAGATTAAACTAAAAACCTACCAAGAAGTTTAAAAGTAACAATAAAGCAGTACAAATATAGAGGGGAAAAGGAAGGGAAAATGGAAGAAGAAAGATTTAAGAAAGAAAAGGAAGATATATGAAAGAGAGAAGAAAAAAGATAAAAATTCATTCAATTAAAGAATTTTGAAAGTAAATTAAGGTAGGTAAAAGTGAGAGAATAAAGAGCAAATGAACAAAAAAGAAAAGAAAAATATGAATCATAAAAATTCCTCCACATCTAGGTGTTTGGATCGATGCAGTTTCTTTCTAAGACTGATAATATAGGAATTCACCAAGGGTGGGGGAAGGTTAGTGAGTCACTCCTGGGAATGCGTGGCTTGTATTTTCTGTACCCTATGAACTTTCTTCCTGTTTGAGGCTGGTCAGTGGTACACTACCTGTTCTGGGCTGTATCTACTTCAAGGGTTCTTCATTGTTTGTTTCCTTCTGTGAACCCAGAGCCACCGCCATCGCCAACTAGCTTAGTGAGCCTGGGCTCCAAAGATTGCTGTCACCATACAGTCAGGGACATGGCAAACGTCCACATGGAGGTGTAGCCCTGATCACTGCCAGGTGTATTCCTGGCAGCTTGGGAAAGCAAACACACCACTGAGTTCTGTTCTGGAAGGAGGCAGCAAGGAAAGCCAAGCATTCCGCTGGTATGGATTCCAGAGCTTTCAGTCCCAGCACCCCCAGATAATGGCATGCCACAGAAATGGCTTCTCACCACAGAGGGCAATATGGCTGACTACTGTGTCTTCCACAGCCTGAGCTCCTCGCTGCTTCAGCTTCTCAGTGGGTCTGTGACTAGCCCTCATCCTCTCCATGAATTTGTCTTGTGGCTGTTTCCCACTCAGTCATTGTGGCTACATATTCCCAGGGGTACCGAAGCATGGCTGTTCTGTGACCTCTGCTCCCTGGAGTAGCTCCCTCTCAAAATGGCCCCTGGATGTGCCACTCTGAGCTATGGTGAGTGCTGCGGTGGATTTCTTCTCCGAAGCCCTGTGAGAGAAGTCACTTTCAGAGTAAATCCCCTCCCTGAGAGCTGGCAATACCCATGGGTTTCTTCTGGGGCTGGTGCTGCGTGTTTATCACTGGGGCTACCAGCACTCACCAGGTAGTCAGGTTGCACACACACACACCATCCCAGCTGAGGTTGGCACTGTGAACTGCTTCATTCTCGTCTCTGTGGATTTTGGCTTTCATGTGACTTCTTTTGTTGTTTCCCTCTTTTCTTTCCTCCCCTCTCCTCCCCTCCTTCCCTCCTCTCCTCTCTTTTCTTCTTTGTGTGTGTGTGTGTGTGTGTGTGTGTGTGTGTGTGGTCCTGGGGATCAAACCCCAGAGAGCTTTTTTTGTTTTTTATTTTAAGACAGGGTCTCAATAGATTTCGCACACTGGATGAACTGGGATCCGCCTGCTTTAGCTTCCCAAATGACTGGGATTGTGCCATGTGTCACCACGATTGGCTCTGCCTCCTCTCTTGATTCCCAGAGCCTTCTGCTCTTTCCTCACAATACGATTTCTCCTCTTTCTCTCGCTCTCTTTCTTTCTTTTTTGGCACTGAATATTGAACCCAGGGCCTTCACAGAGTTACACTTTAGCCCTTTTTACACTTTCATTTTGAGACAGGGTCTCACTAAGCCACTAAATTGCCCAGACGGGACTCAAACTTGTGCTCCTCTTGCCTCAGCCTCCCAGGGCGTTGGGTGATGCCTGTGCCACCATGCCAGGTGGGTTTCTACTTTTCTTCCTTGCAAAGCGACACAAAAGGTAATTTTGTTCTGCCATCCCGAAGGTTTTTGTAGAAAACTATCTCAACAAGTATTTTCGAGCACTATGTGGTGCCAGGGACTGTTGCATCTGTTGGAAATACAGCAGGGGACAAAGCAGACAAACCCTCAGCTTTCTCAGGACTTACATACTAGCAAACCCTAGAGAGAGGACTTTGAGGAGGATAGAGTGGTTTACTGTGTAAAATGCTGCTTACACGTCTAGTAAAATGACACAGAAATTTGGCTATTGGCTTTAGAGGCCATTCGTGTGACTTGGGTCCCCTCTAAATAGAGATGATCTTCATCTAGACCTCTTTTGTGAACTCATGGCCCCTGTGCATTTGCCAGTTTCATTCACACAGTTGTTCTGTATGTCCCAAGCTATATACCCCAGCCCACTCCTTCTCTATGGTTCTCATCTCAGTGAATTACATCACCAGCTACTAATCTGCCCAAACCGGGAACCTAAAGGTTCTCTTTAATCCTCTTTCTCTCCTCCTTGCCCCATTGCACTTGCACTCCACCATCAGTTCTGCTAAGTGGACTGCGAGTACTGGGAAGGCAAAGGTGCGAGGCATTTGTACTCACTTGGTTCATCAGGAAATTGTGTTTCCTCTGCTCTGGTTCCAGGGATCAGAGTGGCAGTGCCCATCAGTTCAAGAAAGTAGTTTTCCAGGAATTTACTGATGGTTCTTTCACTCAACCTTTATACCGTGGAGAACTGAATGAACACTTGGGACTCTTAGGGCCATACATAAGAGCAGAAGTTGAAGACAATATTGTGGTAAGTTAAGGATGATGAAATTACAAGAAAATTAATTCTATGTGTTTATTTTGTTTCTGATTATAAAGATAATGGATTCTTACCTTTGAATTGTTTTGGGAGTGCTGGGAGGGGGAGAAACCCAGGACCTCGAGCATGCAAAGCATATACTCTACCACTGGACTACACACTTGACCCATTTTTCTTTTCTATTTTGAGATAGGATCTAGCTGAGTTGCTAAATTGGTCAGACTGGGCTCAAAATTGTGATCCTCCCACTCCAGTTCCCAAGGGCTAGGATTACAGGTGGGGACCACCATGCTGAGCTGAGAAATTTTAAAGTATAGAAAAATAAAGAAGTTGAAAATCAACATCTTAATAATTACCTTTTGATTGTACATTCTTATATTTGTCCTATGTACTTTTTTCTTTATATATTTGAGATTATGCCATATGTAATTGTTCCTTAGTTTTTAAATATTATCATGGAATAAACATTTCTTATGTCATCAAACACATTTCCTGGATAGACATGGTGGTGCATGCCTCTAATGCCAGCACTAGGGAGGCTGAGGCAGGAAGATTACTGTGAGCTCGAGGCCTGCCTGGGCTACATAGTGAGTTCAAGACCAGCCTGAACTACATAGCAAGACCCTGTCTCAAAAAGTCAAACAAACAAACTAAAAATATTTCCTTAGTAGAAATGACTGTGTAATAGTCTGTTCTGTGAATTTATGGAACTTCCATTTACATAATCAGTATTTTGAACAACCTTTTAGGCACTTTCTTTTTTTCACTATATAAATAATTTGTGATCACAGTCCTTTCCCTGGGATAAAATTCCAGAAGTGTAGTGCACCTGAATATTTTAAGACTCTCTGTTACGAATTATCAATGTCTTTTGAAAAGTCTCTTTTTTGGAGGGAATGCTTTTCTTATTAATATTTCCTTGTATAACAGTTACTAAGCATTCATGATTTTAGTGAAAAATATTTTTACAAGTTTATTATATCAATTTTCTCCACATCTTTTTTATTGGTGTCTATTGATTATATAGATTAATAGGTTTTTTATATGCACATAAAATATTTTTTACCCCCATCACCCCCTTTGCTTCACCAACCCTCCCTAGTTTCACACTTTTGGGGATTTTAATGCATACAATACACTTTCATCATATCTATCCCCCTCTTCCGAATTTTACCTATGAAAGTTTTTTAGATAAAATGGATTTGAATTTTTAGGTAGTACCCTATAAATATTTCCTTTTTGATACTTCCATTGTTTTTGTGTTTACAAGAATCCTTTCCTACCTAGATTTTTAAAAATTACCTGTTATTCTTTCTTTTTTTATTTTATTTTATTAAGAGATTAGTACATGAGAAACAAACAAAAAAATAGAACAGTAGTAGCATACCAGTATCACAAACATAAACAAATCAAAGCAAAACATTCAAAGTGATAAAATTCCCTATTATTCTTCCAGTGTTCTTTTATATCTTGTTTTTATATTTAACTTTTAAATTTACCAATAATTCTTGCAGGTTCAAAGTTATTTTAGCGCACTTTGTGAGACAAACACTGAAGTAGTCTTTCCAAACATAGCTATCCATTTTCCCAGTTTCTTATTTATACTAAGGCTATGGGATTGTGGGTATATTTTTTTCTGATTTGAATTTCATTTTACTTTCCCTATGTTCTATAATAAATGCATAAGTTACCTGAAGAGTAAAACAAGCAAATTTGTTCTGCTTGTTGGTAATTCCAGATTTTTAAGATCTGAAATACAAATCTTTTTAAAAGGTAATATACATTCATCCAGGAACTTGTCATGAAGTACTTAGTATATCATTATTAACTCCTGGGGTTATATCTTTCTTTCTTTCTTTCTTTCTTTCTTTCTTTCTTTCTTTCTTTCTTTTTGAGACAGGGTCTCACTATGTAGTTCTGGCTGAACTCACTTTGAAGCCCAGGCTGGCCTCAAACTTGCAGCAATCCTCTTGCCTCAGTGTCCTGAGTGCTGGGATTATAGGCATGTGCTACCGCACCCAGCTTCGTTATACTCTTTTAAGACTCCTGTAGTGACAATTTCCCTCTTACTTTGTTTTTTTTTTTTTTTTTTTTTGTCTTTTGAGACAGGGTCTTACTGTAGTTTAGGATGCTCTTGAACTCACTGTGTAGCCCAGGTTGGCCTCAGACTCATGGCAATCCTCCTGCCTCAGCCTCCTGAGTGCTAGGATTACCACTCCCAACTTGGAATTACTCTTAAGTGTTTAATGATTTTTCTCTTTTGTAAATGTGAGTTCATGTCTTAAATTCAGAATCAAAAATTCCTCAGAATTTCCTTCATAGTTCTTCAAGCTTGGGTCCTAACATCTGCCCTCTGCACTCTTCCTCTAGGGTGTTACAATTTTGGATAAAGGCCAAAAGGTGGGCATTCCTATTAGGAATACAACCCTTAAGCTCAGGACTTTAATAGCCTAAGCGATAATTCTTGCATTTGATTTTTTTATTTGCTTGATTTACTCCGCAGGTAACTTTCAAAAACCAGGCCTCTCGTCCCTATTCCTTCTATTCTAGCCTCATTTCTTACAATGAAGATCAGAAACAAGAAGCAAAACCTAGAAAAAACTTTGTCAAGCCTAATGAAACCAAAACTTACTTTTGGAAAGTGCAGCAATATATGGCGCCCACTGAAGATGAATTTGACTGCAAAGCCTGGGCTTATTTCTCTGATGTTGATCTGGTAAGCAGCTCTTCCTTGTGCTCACTACTTTCTAGTTTTAAAGAAATGGTCTTTGTGTCATATGCCAAGAATTTTGGTAGTTGTCCTAACACAATGAAAAGTTTTAGATAGGAGAGGTGACATCATATTTGTGTCTGGAAAATATCACCCAGGAATCTATTGAGGAGGACACACTGTACTGTGGGCAGATAGGAAGCAGGCGAGAGTGCCATAAGTCAACAAATAACCTACTCAGGCTCTTTTTCACCTACTAGGTGAAAGAACTTATACTAACAGGACTGATGATTTCTCTCTCTAGGAGAAAGACATGCACTCAGGCTTGATCGGACCCCTTCTGATCTGCCACAGGAACACACTGAGCCCTGCTCATGGGAGACAAGTGACGGTGCAGGAGTTTGCTCTGCTGTTCACCGTCTTTGATGAAACCAAGAGCTGGTACTTTACTGAAAACATGGAAAGGAATTGCAAGGCACCCTGCAGTATCCAGATAGACAATCCCACGTTTAAAGAGAATTATCACTTCTATGGTAACATATCCCACACCCAAATATTTCTCACTGTGCAATGCAGTGTGAGCTAGAAACTTGAACGTTCTATACCTTGCAAGTGCATGTGTGGGACGGGATGCTCAAAGATATCAGTATTTTTGGTGGAGTAAAGGGAAAGCAACATGTACACTAGATTTTAACGGCCTCACCTGTGTTCCTCTTCTCCAGCAGTCAACGGCTATGTGATGGACACCCTTCCTGGCCTAGTAATGGCACAGGACCAAAGGGTTCGATGGTACTTGCTCAGCATGGGCAGCAATGAAAACATCCATTCAATTCATTTCAGTGGACATGTGTTCACTGTACGGAAAAAAGAAGAGTATAAAATGGCAGTTTACAATCTCTACCCAGGTATGAGCTAGTTTAGCTCTTTCTTCTTCCTAGAGTACTTGTTGAGTACTTTATTTTTATTTTTTGCGGTACTGAGGATTAAACCCTGGTCCTTCCCGTTACGATCCATCCCTAGCCCTTTTTCAAAATTCTTCTCTTGAGACAATGTCTCACTAAGTCACTAAGTTGCCCAGGCTGGTCTCAAACTTGCAGTCTTCGGGCCTCAGCCTTCCAGAGTGCTGGGATTACAGGCATGCAGTAACACTCCCAGCTGAGTACTTTAAAGGGTCTAAGTACTAGGGATACGGTCAATGCACAAAGCAAACGAGCTCCCTGGTCCCAACTAACATACTTTTTCAAGTAACTTTATACTACAGAGAAATAAGTTAGCAAGTGAACAAGATGATTTGAACTACATAAATTTGCTATAAAGGAAATAGAATAGAACAAATGGAAGATTAACATCACAGCACTTTCCTAAGAATGCTCTTTTATTTTTCATCTTGAATCCCACATGACACCAGCAGTTATCTAGAGTGATTTTGTTGTGCATGCAACTAGTATATTGATTAAGCATTGCTGACAGTGTGGATCAAATCACCATTTTATTGTAGTTCTGTGTTGTCTCTTTAAAACAGGTTTAATAGCGGAGCTAAAATCCTGTTTCTTCATAAAAAATCTGAGAAGCCCTGTGTCTTTTCTGCTCACTCAAGTAACAAATAGACCTGCAGTCACTCTATTTCACAAATATAGTTCAAGGCAGAAATTACAGTGTTCATTCCGAGATGTAATCAGATCTCTACCCCTTTTAACTTCAATCTTCCCTCGCCCAACACGGCCTCACATCAGGCTGGAAGCCTGTGCTGGGAGGAGTTACGGTTGAGTCCTCCGTCTCTCCACCTTGTGTTTCTGTGCTTCCTCCTGCCCCACAATCCCTTGCCAGAGGCTGTTTTGAACTCCAGCACAGACAGATTAGAAGTAAGGGATTAAGGCTGTTCTAACCTACTTAGAACCGCCACCGTTGTTGTAAGGTACCTTGACACCGTCTGCACCTAGCAGGTATTTATTTACTTTTTTATTTATTTTGCGGTACCGGGGATCAAACTCATGACCTTGTGCTTGCTGGGCAGGCGCTTATTCCACTGAGCTATATATCCCCAGCCCCCGAGCAGGTATTTAAAGAGGACTCTTTCTCTTATAGGGCACTCTCAGGGGCTCCTGGGAGGCTCCTTTGTAGGATCGTTCCTTATGAAATCCCCTGTGCCTGCTTAGTTCCCCCTTTATCCTGGGGAGTCACTTGTAACCATTCCTGACCCCTCCAGCATTCACCCCAGCTTCTCCCCATCTAGGCAGCCCCAGTGGACTGGATCCAAGACGACCTCACCCTGACCCTGTCTCTCTCAGAGTTCACATCTGGTCCATAAGAACTATACCTGCATGCTCTGAAAAGCCCTGAGAGTGTAGGCCAGTCCTAATGCAATAGCACTCTCCTGTCTCCATCATCAAAGCGTTTGGTCACTTTGTCTCTCGTTTCCCTGGAGGGAGGTGGTCAAACTCAATCTGGAGAGTCTGCAACTGTAGGGGCCATACAGGAAGCGCTTTGGGTTTGAGAACTTCAAGAGTGGTGGGACTGAATTAGGACGTCTCCTTCAATATTCTATGAAAGCCAATGTATCTTAAGCTCAGTTTTTAGTGAAAAGAAATTAATTTTGTTTGCTTTGGTTTTGAAAAGGTGCTTTTGAGACCGTGGAAATGCTGCCATCCAGGGCAGGAATTTGGCGGGTAGAATGCCTCATCGGCGAGCACTTGCATGCTGGGATGAGCACTCTCTTCCTGGTGTACAGCAAGCGTGAGTACCACTGTGAGCAGAGGCTCACTGCCTACCAGCCTATTTCTACAGAGCTTTCCTCCTTCTCGGGATGGTTTCCTCTGTTGAGAAATAAATACAAGTGCATATTATTATTAAATTTAAAACAAATATTGTGAGTGGAAAACAAAGTCCGCCAAGGACAGATATGCTGGAAGTTGTATATACTTTGAATATATGCAGTAAGCTGGTGTTAGAAAACAAAACCACTTCATTTTCACAACAACACATTTTGGAACTGAAGTTAATTCAATTATCAAAGATAACTTACAAATGTCCCTTGGAAGAGTTTGGAGATTTAGCCTTAAATAAGGAAGAGAACTACCACTAGTCTACTTATCTATGGACCCTAGTTTCCTCAGCTGCAAAATATGAAGAGTTGTAACACCTGTCTGTTAGAATGAATTAACTGTGAGAGCGCAATAAAATATTTAATACAGTTCTTGTTACATAATAAGCACTACAATGTTAGCGTTTGTTGGTGTTCTCCCATTTTCACTGACTTATATTTAAGAAGCTGAGTTGTGTGCATTTTTAGCCCTGGATTCCCATTTTTTGATTTCAGAGTGTCAGATTCCCCTGGGAATGGCTTCTGGACACATTAGAGATTTTCAGATTACAGCTTCAGGACAATATGGTGAATACTATTATTTTTGTTTCAAGAACCTGGGCTGGCTATATCTTTTTATGTCTGTTAGAGGCTTTTTAGATAACCAATCCACCTTCATACTTTTATTAATTCTGTTTCATAGATGTATCTGAAATCCATCTCATCCTCCCCACTTCCCACTGCAACCATCTTAATTCAGGTCACCTTCATTTCTTTCCTGGACAATAACTCTGTCTCCTTAAATAGCTTCTCTACTTTCAGTATTTCTCCCTGAAGTCCTCTCTCTTCCCTGTAGCTGGAAGCTGCACTTTCCTGTGAACAGTGGCATAAAGCTTGAATAAGATCTGTAGAGAATTCTCAAACATCAGCTTAGAAAAGGGTTGGCAGGGCCGGGGATATAGCTCAGCGGCACAGCACTTGCCTGGCAAGCACAAGGTCCTGAGTTCAGTTCTCAGTACCAAAAACAAACGAACAAAAAAAGGGTTGGCAAACTAGTGCTCACAGGCCAAATCAACCCACCACCTGTTTTTGCATGTGTGAGTTAAAAACAGTTTTTCCATTTTTAAATTATTTTATTTTATTTTTTTTGGTCTTTTTGAGACAAGCTTTCGATATGCAGCTCAGGCTGGCCTTGAGCTCACTTTGTAGCCCAGGCTGGTCTCAAACTCGGAACGATCCTCCTGCCTCAGCCTCCCGAGTGCTGCCTGTAATCCCGAGTGCTGGGATTACAGGCATGCGCCACCATGCCCGGCTGTTTAAATTATTTTAAAAAGAATATTTCATGACATGAAAATTATAAAATTCAAACTTTAGTGTCCGTAATATAGTCTTAATTGAAATATAGCCGTGCTGATTCATTTACACCTTATCTATGGCTACACCAGCACTTAGGTAACAGAAAGCATATAATCTATCACCGTTAAATTATTCGCACTCTGGCCCTTGACAGAAAAATAATTGCCAACCCCTAGTTTAGAGGGGAAAAGAATTCCCCCTTGTAAAAGAGGCTTGAGAGTTATTTACCACACTCGTAATATTTGGAAGGACTGTATTTTTTAATTTACTTTAAGTTATTTTACCATTTTTTAAGTTTTTATTTTCTGATTTCTCTGCAATGAACATATGTAATAAAGAATCATTTGGCAGTGCTGGTAACAAATTCTAGTATCAGCTAATCAGAAGTGCTAATTAAATCAACAAAATTATTAAATTTTATAAAAGGAGATATACAACAATAGCAAGCAAAACCGTAGAGAGAAATCAGTACTGCTAGGCTACAAAGCTTTGTATGCCTTCGTCTATATTTTCCACAACTAGAGTTAACCTTTCTCAAAAGAGCGATATCATTCTCAACTGTCTATGACCAATCCAGTTGAATATAATCTCTCTCTTCTTTCTTGGGCAAAGGACAGTGGGCCCCAAAGCTGGCCAGACTTCATTACTCTGGAATGATCAATGCCTGGAGCACCAAAGAACCTTTTTCCTGGATCAAGGTTAGAATTCCTTTTATTCATCTTGCAAACTCAAAGTATTATACATGCCCTTTATACTGTAGTCATTCCTCCCAAACGTTAGTTAACAGATGAGGAAACTGAAGAATGGAATGATTTATGATTTGTACAAAAAGTCATGAACAAAAGATTCGGGAACATAATCGAGTGTGCTGGTATGTCCTGTTTCCTTATATTGGGATTAGAGCATCTGAATACTTTCTATTATATTGAACTCATCACCTCCAAGATCATGTTTTTTACTTTTAGATGTCTCCAACTAAGTAGATATCCTTGAGCCTTGCAATATTCTGTATTTTAACACAAAAACAAGTAACTCAATTCGCCATATCTAAAGCAAAAAAACTGTAGCTTCTTTTCTAAAACTGAATTTGTCTCCCTGATAAATTTTATACCACTGGGTAGTAGGAAATACCTACTTAAATTTAGTCCAGTCCGGAAAACTAAAATGGATTAATGCCAGAAATATTGTCTTTGGGTGAACTCAATTTCTTTTAAAGGACTCAGTCTTCCAGATTTTCTCACTTCCCTATTTCTTTTACAGCAGCATTGCCCAACGGAAATATAATGCGAGCTGCAAACACAAATCACACATGTAATTTTACGTTTTCTACTACAAAGGGTGTTGGGGTAGGCAGCTATTCTGGCAGGAAGGCCTGCACAGGCACAAGGGCACTGGCTGGGGTTGACCGGCACTAGGCAACCAAGGCCGAGCAGTCAGCAGCAGGTAGTTGACAGGGCCCGTGCCGATAAGCCGCTGCACTGTTTGTGCCTATATACTCTGAAACTTACTTCCCCTTGCTTACCTCCTCCTAGCGCCTATTATGTTCCAGTCACTGAATTCAGCACATTACATGTATAAACATTTTAATAATTTCAATTGAACATTAATCTTCACTTTACAGGATAAACAAATTGAGACTGAAAGGTCAGATGATGCAAACAGGTTCCGTGCCTGAAGGATCTCAGTCTAATAAGGAAGGCAGACAAACAAAGCAACCTTACAATATGGTGAAATAATTTGCTAGAAAGAAGTTAGATACAGCAAGAAGTGCATAAATAAAGCAACACTAAATTTGCCTGCATAATGCAGGGAAGGCTAAACTGGAGAAATCATTTCTGAACTGATACTTCTAGAAGGTAGTGCAGCTCCTTCCTGATGGCAGTGTTGAGAGGAGGTTAGTCTGGGGAGAGGGGAGGAAGTTGGCTTTGGAAAGACTGAGACTGAGGTGTGAGTAAAACAAGCATCGGGTTGTGTGTGTTTGTACGTGCAGTATAATGGATATGTGTGTACAGAAAATGGGTCAGTCATTTGAAAGTGGTCTGGTCCTCAAGCAAGCAGGGACCTAGGTCTGTACCTTTTCCACTCATCCCCACCATTTGCTCCGCAGCCTCACATCTCTGTCCACGTTTCAACATTGTTGTCTGCTTCTTGTGCACATCTAAGGTGACAAGGGGCACCTCTGTTGCAATATAGATTCTTCCTAAACCAATAGTTAACTTCAGAAGATAGTACATACATTTAAACACTGGTTAAAATAAAATGTTGCTTTAATTGGTAGGTGGATCTGTTGGCACCAAAGATTATTCATGGCATCAAAACCCAGGGTGCCAGTCAGAAGTTCTCCAGCCTCTACGTCTCTCAATTTATCATCATGTATAGTCTTGAAGGGAAGAAGTGGCTGACCTATCGAGGGAATTCCACTGGGACCTTAATGGTATGTAAGTAGCCCTTTCAAGACAATGCATTAATACTTTAAAGACCTGTTGACAGATTTCGTAGATGGAACAAACCATCTTAGATTCTACACACTTAACTCCAAAAAAGTGTTTTCTACCTAAAAACATGTAGTAATGTCAAGACTCTCATAGATGCTAGAAGTGAAGAGATGCTCTGTTATTGAATGTCCGGGAGTCAGTACATTTTTTAAAAACTTGAGTTTAGAGATCGAAACCAAGAATGCAGATAAAGCCTTGTGCCTTTGAACCAAAAAGATGAGTGAAACCTGGGGAACTGATTCATTCTCTAGGGGTAAGCTGAAGACCCTTTCTTAATTAAGCAGGCCCAACATCCACCTTAGCGTCACTGCCTGTACTGCTCTCATAGTTGTGCCCCTGATGAACTGCTCCACCAATCTGTTCAGTTCTTCCTTTCTGTGCGCCTTGTGTGTCTTCCTTCTGAAAATGATTCAGAAAAACTTCGATTTTGTTCCATGGAACTATTGCTTTACAATTCTTTAATTAATGTAGTAATCACATATTTAATGAAGGTTAGAAAACAAACCTACTAGAGCTTTGTGCTTTATTTGGTGGTAGATACTTCCCTGTGTTTCCCATTCCTTTTCTGATTTTCGGCATTCTCACTTCCTGTTATCTTACTTGCTGTGTGTGTAAATGTCTGCAGTAGGTCTGTACTTCTCTTCTCGTGCCATATGTATCTGTGTACATACATATATCTCTTTCTATCCTTTTTGTCCCTTGATTGGAGTTAGGAAATATTTCTCTATTCTACTGGTTCTTCAAAACATCGACTCACCTTTTAAAAATGAAACCTAGTTTTGAAAGAAATGTTTTTGACGTCATTAATTTGTTTGAAACTTTAAAAAAATTATGTTCCTCTGGTTTACTTCCTAGAATCTAGACTTTAAATGCCCAGTTTATTTATTTTCAATCTTTCTTTTACATTGAGAAGGATAAGGCAGATATCAACCACTTTTCTGAGGGTTGTTCCTTTAACAAAAAGTTACGAGCAACTATTACGTTCCACAGCAACTGTTATGAGCAACTAGTATGTTCTAATACGAGGGTTGAAAAGCTATAGCCCATCGATTTGGCCTACAACCTAACTTTGTACGGCCTGTGAGTTAAACAGGTTTTTACGTATTTATAGGTTTGAAAAAATGAAGGGACAGAAGACCATGCCACAGAGACCATTTGCGGTCTGTAAAGACTAACTTATCTCTATCTGGACCTTTACAGAACAAAATTTGTGGACTGCTGCTCCAGTCTAATGACCGAACAGGTGCCTGGGCAGTTAACATTAATCCTCATGTACCAGAACCCTTCGCTCCCAGAGCATGCCTGATTTACTAATTTCAGTCTTGTTGTTTTTTTTTTTTT